CTATGTGTCATCCATATTTCTTCCCAGTGTCATCTCCCACATCCTGTCTGTCACCAGGTTCTTCCTGTTCTAGCTCCAAACTGTAGCTCATATCTGTCTACTCCTCTCCATCCTGGCTGCCCCCATTCTAATCTAAATGACCACCATCTTGCATTTAAACTTCTGCATTAGCCTTCTAGGGAGTCTCTCTGCCTGCACTTTTGCCCTCCCCAATCCATTTTCTATACGGAAAAAGTATTCCTCTTCTTATAATACAGTATATCTTGTTATACCCCTGCTGGACCTTCATTTCACTTGAAGTTAAACTCCATGCTCCTTACCTTGCTCTATGAAAGTACTTCATGATCTAGCCCCTGACAGTCTCTCCAGCCTTGTCACACCCTGGCTTTTTCCATGGCCAGCTCCTTCTCATTTTTTATATCTCACCTTTCCTGTCAGTCCTCAGAGAGGCTTCTCCTGACCACTAGCTTCAGTCATGCTTGTGTGTACACCATTCTTCTCATCGTGGCACAAAGGATTCATATCCTTATGGGCCTCTGGTATAAGTGACACTTACCTTGTTTGTTATTCGTGCCTCTCCTCCCCCCCGGAAAGTAAGTAAGGATCTTGTTTGCTGTGTTCACCGCTGTATTGTATTTCCAATTCCTAGTACTTGCCTGGCACATAGTGGGCACTTAATTAAAGCTTGTTGAGAAAAGAGAGGAATAGGAAAGGAAGGAAAAGAACTCATTAAAAATAAGGAATTCCCTAAATGGGTAAGGGGCATTAAGGAATCTACTCCTGAAATCATTGCTGCACTATATGCTCACTAAATTGGATATAAATTTAAAAAATAAATTTTCAAAAAAGGAATTCCCTGCTTTTTTTTTTTTTTTAAGTCTACTTATTTGAGACAGTGCAAGTGAGGGAGGGGCAGAGAAAGAGGGAGAATCCCAAGCAGACTCTGCTCTGCCAGCACAGAGCCTGACGAGGGCCTCAAACTCATGAAACCATGAGATCATGACCTGGGCTGAAACCAAGAGTCAGACACTTAACCAACTGAGCCACCCAGGTGCCCCAGAAATTTCCAGCTTTAAAAAGTTCTATACTGAAGTAGTAAGAGCAAATGAATGAAAGTAGGAGAGAGAAAAAAAAAAAAAACATTTTATGGAACTAAACCATTGCAGCCTCTTGGTGCCTTCCTGGGTACACAGAGAACACTGAAACCCAGTCCAGGGGCTTCACCATTTTAAACTTTTGGCAGCTGCGTCATTTCTTCCCTTTGTCCTTGCGTGTTTCATCCTCCTAACTCTTCCTTGAGGATCAGAGGACAGCGTTTCCAGACCGTGCCAGGTTTCTGTCGTTAGTATTGTATCCTCCCAATCCATGTCCACTGTACTTGATAAGATCTAGGTGCAGGAACTGGGCCTCTCATAGACTGAGAGAGATTATCAGGAAACAAATGCAAACTGTGGTTATTAGCTTAGCCTATGTTTTAAGCATTCAGTAACAGATCTGAAAAGCTACTGTAAGTAAAGTGATCTGCACTCTGAAGAAAAAGCAGAATAAGGAGATATGGAGCATGATTAAAGGAAGGGGATGTTAGGTAGGATGTGCTTTCTGGGGGAAGTAGCCCATGAACCAGGACCCAAATGAGGTGAAGGAGCAAGTCACATGGAGTTGTGGAGGAAGAGCATCCCAGACAGGTTTGAGCTACTAACCAGGGTTTGCTGACTTTTCCTCTGTTATCCCCCACCTTTAATCAGTGTGTCCCCTTTCTAGACCACACCATAATTCTGCCATTGATTTTTAAGACCCAGCCCAGGGCCTTCTATACTATTGTGCGCATTATATACTGCACACCTCTAGGGGGCACCATTCACATGTGTTATCATGGTACGTTTGAATATTTCTTATGACACTTTTCCAGTAGACGGCAGTAAGGTTCATGAGGACAGGGTGGCTTTTGCTCATCTAGGTTTGCATATAAGCTAATGTCATTACCCCTCTTTCCTTCTCTGATGCATCCAAGTCTTTTAATCTCTGGGCCTCAGTCTTATCCTGTAAGCTTTTCTTTCTTTTTTCTCTTTCTGTTTTTCTTTCAAACATTTGAAACTTAAAGAATTGCACGTGTAGTACAGAAAACTCCCATATAACCTGCACTCTAGTTCACCAGTTGTTAACATTTGCCTACTTTTGCTTTATAACTGTGCCCCTCTCTCCAAGGAGAGCTGGTTGCAAACATCCTGTCCCTTTACACCCTGACTTTGGAGTGTGTGGTGGTGGTGGTGGTGGTGGTGGTGGTGGTGGTGTTTTTTGAGCAGGAATGTTGTTTTACATAGCCGCAGTACACTTAATCAAATTTAGGAAATTTAACATTGATACAGTATCGTTAACCCTTGAACCTCACAGTAACGGACTCTGACCTCCACGTAGTTGAAAATTCGCATATAACTTTTGACTCTCCAAAAACTTAACTACTAATAGCATACTATTGACTGGAAGCCTTACCAATAACACAGTCAATTAACACATATTTTGTATGTTACATATATTGATTTCTTATAATGAGCCAGAGAAAAGAAAATGTTATTAAGAAAATCAAAAGGAAGAAAAAATATATTTACAAATACTATACTGTATTGGGGAAAAATCCACATGTAAGTGACCCATGCAGTTAAAACGTGTGTTGTTCAAGGGTCACCTGTACTTTTATCAGTTATATAGTCCGCATTCACGATTTGTCTGTTGTCCCAGTGATGTCCTTTGTAGCTACTTTTATCCCTTTATCTAGTGTTCAGTCTTTGATCACATTTAGATTTATGCTTCATGAACTCGCCTTACTCTATTTTCTTATTTTTTATTAAAGTATAATTAACATACAATGTTCCATGAATTTCAGGTGTACAATATGATTCAGCAATTCTACACGTTACTCAGTGCTCATCACAATAAGAGTACTCTTAATCCCTGTCACCTGTTTCCCCCATTCCCCACCCACCTCCCCTCTGGCAACCACCAGTTCGTTTTCTGTTTTTAAGAGTCTGGTTTTTGTTTGTCTCTTTTTTCTTTGTTCATTTCTTTTGTTTATTAAATTCCACGTATGAGCTAAATCATAAGGCATTTGCCCTTTTCTGTCTGACTTCACTTGATGTACCCTCTAAATCCATCCATGTTGTAAATTTCTCAGTCTGAGTTTGTCTGCTGCTTTCTTACTGGATTGAAGTTCTGTGTTTTTGGTAAAAGTATCATAGAAGTGATGTTGTGTTCTCCGTGCATTACACCAAGTGGCACATGGTATCTGTTTGTTCCATTCCTAAACATTCTGAGTGGAAACTGTACTTGTGGACTTAGGAACTGTGACATGTGTGTACTCGGACACTGACTAGGAACTGGCTTAGTATTTGCTCTCATAAGAAGGCAGCACTCTGTTCAGCTTTTCTGTCCAATCAGGTGCCTGACTTGTGTCCCAACTCTTCTTTGCAATGTCACTAGCTGGGACTCTCCACTTCCCATCAGGAGTCATAGCCCCTCTTACTTCTCCTAGTGTCACATCCCTTGACTGGAATCTTTGAACCAGAGATTACTTCTTCTGTACAGTCAGCATGTCTTTAGTGTGAATGTTTCAAGTTAGGTTCCTTTGGCTCTAGCAAGGTTAGGCTTCAGAGGAGAGGATTGTGGCTGAATATGGGGAAGAACTAGGTGCCAAGGGGCCCACTTGAACAGATTCAAGTTCATTTTACCCTCAATCACAGTCTTCCAGGCCTACCGTACTTTGTAGTTAAAATTTGAGTGTTTATTGTATGCCATTTACAGTGCTAAGCATTCTACTACATTACCCTTATATAGTCCTTAAAACAACGCTAGGAAATAGATATTACTTTCTTTGTTTTACAAAAGAAAAAAAGGTTTAGAAAGGTCAGTTAAGACCATATAGCCAAAAAGTACCAAGACTCTAAACTCCTGTCTCCAATTCCAGAGCCCTTGCTTTTCTTTATAAATAGAAGAATCCTGCAATAGGGCCATTAGTGTTGAAATTAACCTTCACGGTTGACATTCAAATATAGTGTCATTGCTAAATAGGAGATAATTGCTGGCAACTTTTACATACATTTTTTGAGGTGTCTGTAAGTAGCAGAACTTAAATTTTTCCTGTTTGGATGTCCCCTACCATAAGACCCACTTGCCTAAGACAGTCTTGGTTTATACCTATTTCCTAACAGTTATTAATAGTGGCCCCATTCATTTTCAGAGGTATTGTGGTTTGGTTTGGTTTGGTTTTAATGTTTATTTTTGAGAGCAAGACAGAGCATGAGTGGGAGAGGGGCAGAAAGAGAGCGAGACACAGAATCAAGAGCAGGCTCCAGGCTCTGGGCTGACAGCGCAGAGCCTACGTGGGGCTCGAACCCACAAACCGTGAGATCACAACCTGAGCAAAAGTCAGATGCTTAACCGACTGAGCCACTCAGGTGCCCCCAGAGGTATTGTGGTTTAGATAATGGTATGGTCCCCTGCCTATCATAATCCTTCCTGAGATCTCTTCAGATTAACAGAGACTGGTATGTGTTATTGTAACTAACGCTAATAGATTGGTTTGTTTTTATCCATCACTCTTTCTGGCCTGGCCCAATTTACACATTAGCTTTGGTTTTATAGTGACCAAACTATACTATATCATCACAGATTGCTTAATTTATTCAACAGTTATCAATACTTTATCACACTTGCTGTACATCCTTTCTGCTGAAACACTTAAAGAAAATGACACTTTACCCCAGTGTGGCCATCCCTAAAAAAATAAGTTTCTAAGTTTTTATGAACCTGTCCAGAAACCACAAGAACCTTTTGCAGTGTGAATCCTCATTTCTGATAGCATTTGATTTTCATGTATCAGGTTCTCTTATGGAGGGTGCACCCGTAATGGCATACTGGTGTGTTGCTTCTCGGGTATGCAGGACACAGCCGAAGAGCAGTGCTGGCCATGTGGCCACATGTAACCTGTGTCCCCTTTCTTTTGGCAGTGCACGATCTGATTTTCTGGCGAGATGTGAAGAAGACTGGGTTTGTCTTTGGCACTACGCTGATCATGCTGCTCTCGCTGGCGGCTTTCAGTGTCATCAGTGTGGTTTCTTACCTCATCCTGGCTCTTCTCTCTGTCACCATCAGCTTCAGGGTCTACAAGTCTGTCATCCAAGCTGTACAGAAATCAGAAGAGGGCCATCCATTCAAGTGAGTTGAAGTATCACAAGTAACGCGTTACAGCTTAGGGAGGGGGGTTGCTGAGGCCGGTAGGTCAACAAGTCAGACCTGACATCATCAAGAATTTATAGGGCCTAATGCAGCTGGTTGCTTGTATGAACTATCAACTAAAAACCTTGTCACTTAAAAAGTGGCCAAGAGCTTTTTGACAAACTCACACTTTAAGGCCAAAGAAGTGTCTGAATTCCTGAGCAGAGCAGGGAGAACAGGGCCTCCATGACAGCACTCAGTCACATGGGTTCCCAAGGACACATTTAAGCTTCCACATAGTTAAATCTTAAAACAGCTTTCAAAGCCAGGTATTGAGTCTGCACTCTTGGCGATACCAGAATTTGATACGTTTGCTTTTAGTTTTATTACTGATTTCCTTCTTAATTCTCCTTTAGTTTTCTTTATACCAAGAGCAGGTCCTGATGAAGTCAGTAGGTCATGCATTTCTAGAATCCACTTGCTAGCTTTCCTGACTGTGCTGTGACTTAAACAAATGTTTCCCTCCACTTTTCCTCTTGAAAATCTTAGGCCGTAAACATTTTTAACATTTGCAAATGTTGGGTTTTTTTCAAAACCCGTTTCTTACAGGGAAAGAACCTCTTCTGTGACCTCTCAGGACTGCAGCTCTGGTCCTTTTATTTTCTCTTGGTGAAAATAGAACAGACAGTTTAAACTGTATGTGGCATTAAAAAAGTTATTCCAAATTACTTTTAATAAATCAGTAGGTGTTCAGTGAGTGAATACGTTTTATTGTTTTGCCACAAGCTCAGCTGTCTTAGCTCGGGTTTCCTCTTCTGCATGACACTGTTGTGGATTATAAAGTGTGTACTGCTAAGCTGTATGAATTACAACATCAAATTTTTGTAATTTTTATATTTGGTAGTAAATATTTTCTTAAATACAGAAAGTAAGCATGCCTGTTCCTTTTTGTTTTCCCAAGACTGTAGGCTCTTTAAGGCAAAAGCAGTCTTCCCTTTCCTCATATGCCCAGCACACAGCAGAGGGTCTGATACTCAGTCGGCACTCAGTAGGTACTGCGTGAATGAACAGGTCAGGAGCACACGGTTACATCTCAGTTCTGTAGTGCATCTGGGAGCAGACCCAGGTCCTCCTGTCTTTTTCTGTAGTTGTCAACCCTATCAAACTCAGTATCTCCATCTTCCTTTTTGTTGACAAATGTTTTATAATGCCTCTTTTATCATTTTGAAGTGAAATTCATAGATATCTACAAACAGAATCTCAAAACTAGACTCTGATTATAAAGAAAGAAGATAAAAGCCCATTTATAATAAAAATCATACATATTCTAGTTAATATTTAACTGCTTGGACGTGACTACACACACACAAAAATAAATACAGACATCAGATACTTGGAGTTAGGTGTATAATCTCCAATACAGAGGTGATTTTTCAAAATAGTGAAAAGCATCTCAGGGAAGTTTAGCATGAACAAAATTCAGTGTGAAAATATTCAGGATATGTTAAAACTGTGGGGATAATACCCTGTTTTTAATGTTCTGGGCTTTTGGTAATTATAAATGGGTTCATACCTTCCCAAATATCCTTTGAGGCAATAAAAGTTATGCAGGGCATAGGACTGCCCTTTATTGTGTGAGAACATCCCACACTTTGCAGACCTCTGGCATCTCTGCTTCTGCCCACTGAGGGACAGTGGTGCCCTCTCCCCACCCCATGACAGCAAAAAGTGTCCCTACAGATTTTCACAATTGCCCTTAGGGGGGAATATCATGCTGTAAAGAACTGCTCTGCTAACAGAAAGAGATCTTCCTTGTCAAATGTATGACTATTGTTTCTTCTTCTGGAAGAGCCTACCTGGATGTAGACATTACTCTGTCCTCAGAAGCTTTCCATAATTACGTGAATGCTGCCATGGTGCACATCAACAGGGCCCTGAAGCTCATTATTCGTCTCTTTCTGGTGGAAGACTTGGTTGACTCCTTGAAGGTTAGTTGTTCCTACAGCTTTTGGCGGTGAGGCTGAGGAAAACCAGGGACTAGGTTATAGTTCCGAGGAACAACAGTAAATAGGGGTTCCTCACACACAAAAATACATGTCTGCTTCTCTCCCACATTTGGGGTAGGAGTGAAACGGGGATAGGAGTCAATGGCCTCCTGCACCTGAAGAATTTTAGAACAAGGAGAATGTCATTGACAGAAATACAGTTAGAGTCTGAGCTTAAGAGAACACAGAATGGTCTCATGCCTCCTTCAGATGAATGGTACAGGGGAGGTAACCTTCATTTTGAAGTTATTGATGACATACATCACTAAATTTATGCAGACTTCATTGTCAAGAGGAGAATGGCATCAGTTAACCTAAATTTTGCGTTATGCTTATTCCCACTTAACTCTCTGATGTTGGCATTCACAGCTGGCGGTCTTCATGTGGCTGATGACCTATGTTGGTGCCGTTTTCAATGGAATCACCCTTCTGATTCTTGGTAAGGTGACAAGGAAAATGTCTCCGTGCTCTCGGAAGTACAGTTAGCCCTTGAACAACACAGATCTGAACTGCATGGGTCATAACACTTATCCGTAGAATTTTTGCAGTGCGTTGTGGTAAATGTATTTTCTCTTAACGATTTTCTGACTAACGCTTACTTTTGTTGTAAGAATACAGTATATAATGCATATAACATACAAAATATGTTCATTGACTGTGTTCTCAGAAATGCTTCTGGCCCACAGTAGGCTGTTAGTCAAGTTGGGGGCAAGGGATCAGCAGTTGTGTGCAGACTCTCAACTGCACAGGGTGTCTGTCAGTGCTCCTAATCCCCACAGTGTTCAGGGGTCATCTGTGATTGGTGGAAGCAGGAGCAAAGCATGTCTCCACTCTTCCCACATGGCCCAGCCTTTAACATCCATAAACCTTGAACTGGATGTTGGAAGAACCTATGTTTGTTGGCCATGGGTTTATTGGAAGGGCCTAACCGTAAAGAAGTATCAAAACAGCTAGAAGTAAAGGAGAGTTGTCTACAGTTGGGTTAAATATGAGGATCTCAGAGAAATCATTTTCAGGGCGCCTGAGTGGCTCAGTCGGTTAAGTGTCTGACCCTTGATTTCCACTCAGGTTATGATATCATGGTTCATGAGGCCAAGCCCCGTGTCAGCGCAGAGCCTACTTGGGATTCTCTCTCGTTCTCTCTCTCTCCCCCACTCCCTCCCTCCCTCCTTTCCCCCCCTTCCTCCTCTCAAAAATAAATAACATATTTTTAAAGAAGAAATCATTTTCATAATTTGGAAATTATTTGTAATACAAAGAAGGCAGCCTGTGTACCTATAGATTGAAAGTTTATATTTCCCTATATTTCATGAAGAAAAATGGTGTGTGTTACTTGAGTCTTGGGTCTTTTTGACTGCCTCACATTTATACCTGCCATGTCCTGTGATTCTCTTACAGCTGAACTGCTCATTTTCAGTGTTCCAATTGTCTATGAGAAGTACAAGGTAAGCATGTCTGTTTTGAATCAGATAAGCCTGTTGATTATGACTAGTTTCAGTTCATGTTTTAGGCATTGCAAGTTTGGGGCAACCGTTTTCTAACTATTTCTCCAGTCTAATTTTATAAGTCAAGAGCCTATAAAAAATTGGTAATAGTGGTTTCCTATACCAAGAAAAACTGAATGTTCAGGAGAGAAAAGTTGGTAGGAAGGAGACTTCTTTTTGTGCCTCGCTGTGTCTTTTAAGTTTTTATCATGTGGATGCATTACTAAGTTGAAAAAGTGCTTAAATAAATAAAAGCTGGTATCTGAAAATAAATTCAAACTATCAAGGCTATTATGGGAATCCCGTTGGTGTGAAAAGATGTTTGCATTGTGGAATGCAGAGCCTTGCTGGATGCGAGAAGGTTATTCTTTGTAGGTCAAGTGATCCATTATTTATACCTTTTGGTATTAAATGGATTAGTCTTACGTGGGAGCCACAACACATTAGTGATTACCGAGCACAGATTAGACAGTTGCTAGTATTCAGAAAATGCTTTATTCTCCAGTGTCTCCAAAGGAAACAGCTAGCAAGTAAGACCTTCGCGGAAGAAATGAGTGATTTTTACTTCCAACAGAGTATGAGGTGTTTGTGGCATAATTTAAATTCCGAAACCTTAAGTTTTTAAAATATTTGTTAAAGGGGCATTATTTTCATTTCCCAGAATATGCAGTACTATTTTTAAAAAATGATTAAACTGGACAACAGAACATTACCTTCAGGAAAATTGTTAATCTGTGTGTTGCCGTAACTGAGTCTCTTTCCTTCCTTAAAGACCCAGATCGATCACTATGTTGGCATCGCCCGCGATCAGACCAAGTCAATTGTTGAAAAGTAAGTACGCTTAAGTTCCACATTTTATCATGACGTGTGTGTTTTTCCCCAGTTAATTTTAGCCTCCTCTGTAAAATAACTGACTCAAAGAAAGTAATTTTCACCCTGAAGAAAAAATGTTGGTTGATAGTTTTATTTTACTAGAACTTATTTCATCTGCTTCTTAAAAAAAAAACATCCTTTGTGTCGTAGACTAAAAAGGACGGATGGAATTAGAACCTTTGCGTTTAGAATTGGCCTTTAAGTGTTTGTGGCTCCCAGCGCACATGCATCTGTTTTCACACGTTTCAGTTTTAAGCCAAACTCTTCCCTTTCTTTTCAGAAATAAGAGTTTTACTAAATAAATGACTCAAGGCACTAAGCTACCTCTTTTCTAAAACTACCAAACCCCTCTGTTTTCTCTATTTTTTAAACCAATTTAATATTAATATCAATTAGTAATAAAATATCTCCCTCTATCAAGGAACCATTTGGGGGGTTTTGGAGGTTTTTTTAATTACTTAACAGTAAACACTTAGGAACTTTTAATTAAAATGTTAATATTTTTCCGTATTCATATATTTAAGAAACAAAACCTCAAAAGCAGTTAAATCTCTTTTGTGCTCCACCCACACCCACCCCCAGTCCCTTTCACACCCCAGATTTTAGTGCTTTTTCCAGTTTTGATATGTGGAAAGCAACTACATGCACACAGCTCGGGCTTGATGCCAGGGTCTTTACTTGCTCTTTCGCTTTTGTAGGTATACATTGGAGTTAAAACCAGGCAAGGACAGTTAGCACAAATACGTATCTGTTGCTGTTTACTCCTCACTGGGAAAGATGGTGATAGCGTAGCTTTGAAACCTAATGTCTTGGGTAGTCCCTGCTGGCGTGGCTTTGACATTGGTTGAGAGGTGTGTGAATGACCTGAGTGATGGGCAACCTTAGTGCACAAAATACAGGGTAGCTTTGGTGTCCGGTGACGGGCTGGGAACTGTTGCCTGCTCCCATTGTCTTTTTATATGTCACCCTGACCCTTGACTCCGGTTCCTTTGGGGCACCAGTGGGTAACCTAGCACTCCCAGAGAAACGGGCTCTTGCACCATTGGTGTGGAGAACATAGCAGGCAGTACGCCCCGACGCCCCTTACTCTCCTCTCTAGCCCCCCCCCCACCGTGAGGGTGCCGGGAGGCGCACGTGGTGAAAGAGAATGGGGAGCCCGCACCGTAGCAGGGAGGAGGGGGTGGACCCCTCAGCTCATCCCACACCAGCCTCCGCCCTGCCTCTTTTCATCCAGAGTAAGCCTGCTGGAGATGGGAGGGTGTTTTCACAGCGCTCCAGCAAGGTCAGGACTGTCTTCCAGTATCACTGTTAAAGTAAAAGCCTAGAACCGAGGTCTGGGTTTTCACCTTCTTCTTCTTCTTTTTTTTTTTTCTTCTTCAATAGGATACAAGCAAAACTCCCTGGAATCGCAAAGAAAAAGGCAGAATAAGTACATGGAAACCAGAAATGCAACAATTACTAAAACACCACTTAATAGTTATAAGGTTATTACTTGTACTATGAAGGAACGTGCTCAGTGTCAGCTCGAGCCTGCATTCCAAGCTTCTTTTTCTTAATTTGGTGTTTTCTTCCCTCCTTTCCCTTTACCCTCCGTATCAAGCACAAGAATTGTTGGACTAAAAAAAAGAACTGATATCTTAGGACCCAAAAGAATAAAGAAAGAATCTAATAGGATAAATCAGTACCTTAATGGTGGTGGGGCTTTTACTTGGAGCTTGAAAGGGGAGAGGTTGGAGGTCAAGGAGAAATAAAAGACAAAGCACTGCTCGGATTCTGCTATCCAGCTTTCAAGGACTAGTCTTACGCAACTTCCCGTCAGGGTTTTACCCTTATTTTTAAGTTAAAAAATAATGATTAACTTATGAGGAAATTATCTGGGGACAAGAGTGGGATTCCTTCCCCCGGGTCTTTGGCAGCTCTCTGACCCCGTCTTCCTGCCCCACAATGTGAGCAGCTGCTCCTGACATTCCTCTTCCTCACGTAATGATAGAACTTTCAAGTCTATGAATAACCTGTAGGTGATAGTGCGCATTCCTGATTCCCAGAATGCCGTCTGGTAACCAAGAATGGAACCCGAAAGTGGGGCTGTAACGGCCCTTGCTCTCCCGCTCATCCCTAGAGAGGAAAGCTCCCGCCGTTTGGGAGGGTGGTGTCTGTGTTGTTTGTGGTGGGCACCAGTTCTGAGCTTTAGTTTGAGAACTCATTCCTGAATGTGCTTTCCTCCCTCCTCCCTGCCCACCTCACCTCGAGTTTAATAAATATGGTTGTACTTTTCTTATTATGAAATAAATGTCTGTAACTGCTGTACACTGCTGTAAACTTGTTAGAGAAAAAAAAATAATCTGCATGTGGGCTCCTCAGGTGTTGAGTTATTGTAATCCTATCTCAGTCCGTGGGGGGGAAACATTCTCAAGAGGTGAATACAGAAACAAAGGGCCTTTTTTGCTTTTATCTTTTCTCTGCAGCTTCCTCCTTCCCGCGCTACATCCTTAACCTGTGCTCCTCATCTTACCCTAAGCACCAAAGCCAAGCTGTCTTGAGAGGGGCTTGTGTGTGGTGGAGGGGCCGCAGGGCAGTGTAAGGAAGTGCGTTCTGTGGTTCACAGGGAGCTTTGACTTTGAGGCCCACTCGCAGGCATGCGTTACCCTTTGAGGGCTCCTGTGTCTTCAGGCGCCTTAAATGTTGTATCGCGCCCCTGCGTGGCCCAGGGTGCTCCTTTGGAGAGCGCTTTCCCCGAAGCTGTAGGTCAGGGCCACCGCGCAGGGCCAGCTTGTGCTGCCGGGCTCCGTGCACAATTGGAAGCTAACGGAACAACCCAGACCGACGTCAGAGGGAGGGCGATCAGGAATCTTGATTCCTGTTGAGACCGATCTGTGTCTTTGTCCCCTTCCAACGTGAAAATTCAGTCAGCTTGGAAGAAAAGTCATCTGAATTCCTTCAGGTTGTAAACTCCTAGTCATGAGGGAATGTGCGCTGGTGACTTTAAAATAAGGGCTCGTGTTTGATGGTCCCAAAGCAGTGCAACTCTGTAGAAGGTAGTGGAAATTTTCTTTCTACTGTTTTAGAGAAGTTACTTCAGCATTTAGATGGGTAAAAGGTACCCTTGCCTTACTCCATTTTCCTATTTTCTCAGCCCTCTTTCCTTTTGAGTTTTTAAGCTGAGTTCATGTCGGAGTCGGAAACATGTTCTCTGCATCCTACCTTATGCCCTCCCAGGAAGTCAGTGCACTGATCAGCTTTTTGGGCTTCCCCTCCAAAGGACCCTTTTCTGCACTGGAAGCCCCCACACCTAGATCCTCTGTTTTGTTACTGCTGTGTTTAGGTGATTGGACAGATCTTTGTGCCACACAGGAATTTTCTTTTCTTTTTTTTTTTTTTTAAAGAAAAACCCATAGGTGAACTATTACTAATGAAACTGTGTGCGTGTATGTGCGTGCAACATAAAAATACAGTAGCACCTACGGAACTTGAATCTTCGTTCCTGTAAAACTGCAAATTGATGTGGTATTAATAAAAAAAAATGGAAAAAAAAACCCACAGTGACTGGTGTCGTTCTGCTAACTTTATTCTTTATACACAGTTTGGGTAGAGTAAGAACCAGGCCCCCACCGGCCCCCGGCCCCACTCCGCTTTTGAGGCTTTCAGAAGCGACTACTAGTTGATACTGGTCATGGTTCCCAAGGCTGCAGAATTTCCATAGTAGAGCAAAGCTGTGCGTTTGGTTTCTGAAAGATCACAGAGACCCTCTGAGAGGTGGCCTTGGGAGGAAGATGAGGAGTGGAAGGGGCCAGAGGGTCTGTTGTCCCAGTTCGGCCTCACACCAACCTAGGAGGGTTTCCTGCCCGCGACGGGAAGCGGCCTGTGAATCCCAGCCACTGTGCTGGAGTCCGTCACTGCGGAGAGCGGAAACTACATACAGCAGGTCTTTGCTGCAAGAGCTGTATCACTTCCGATTTATTCTTCCCCCAAAACTAAGGCTGCCATGACCCTTAAGCTGGATTTTAAAAATTTATTCAACATACCTCTTAGAAAACTTAGGCTGAAATTTTTAAAAAATAACTGATGCAAACAACTTCACAAATACACATACAAATGTTCGAGTAATGTCACTAACATGGTATATAAATATGGATTCAGAGTAACATTTACATATTGGCCATAATAGCAAGCATACCATTAACAAAAACTTCATGAAGAAACTTCACCTGCTCATGTCAGACTCCCAAGGCAAGGAGGAGGCACATAGAGAGGAGGCCCACCTAACCCCCCTGACCTCTAGCCCACAAGGCCATGGCCGCAGTCAAAGCCGAAATCAGTACAGTGGCCCTTCGATCACTGGGGCTTCAATCTTCAGTTTCATGATCGTTGGAGGACTTATCAGAAAGGACTGGCTGGGTGCCACCCCAGTTTCTGATTCATGGAGATGGGGGCCCTAGGATTTGCATTTCTAGGAGGTTCCTAACGCAATGCTGATGTTAAGGGTCCCTGGCCACACTTTGAGAACCCCTGAAGTGCTTGGGGCTGCCTCTCAGTGAAGACATTCACTCCTGTCTAAGGCCTCTCTCCCTGTCAAGAGGAAAAAGCCATTCCAAACCGGCTCTTGGTCCCGGCTTACCTGAACTTCGGCGGCGGGCTTGGGTGACCAGAATAGGTCGCCCCAATTTTGCCTACTGTTTTTGAACAGGCAGAGTAGTAAAAATGGTAAAATACTCATTCTGGATCTGAAAGCAACATGCATGAAGGAAAAGAAAAGAATGGCAGTGCCCAGCCTGGTGCCATCTGTGATCCCTGTTCTCACACTTAATACTGTCTCAGAGACCCTGGGAATTAACTTTTCAGTCCACTGGCAGCTCATGCAGGATTTCCTGACTCGCTGGTGGCATCTGCAACAAAAAACAATGCCAGAGCCCTTGCCCTACTGAAGGAGGCCATGGGGCAGGTGTTAGACCCACTTACGGGGTTCTGATGGAAGGCTGCCGCCCAAACCCCGGAGCTGAGGCCCGTGGCGGCCCGGAGAATGCTCATTCCTGGGAAGCGTGCAGCTCTTTGCCATCCCCGGGTCACGGCTGCAGTGAAATGGCCTTGCGACACCCGGCACGTGCCATCCTTTGGCAGGCCTGATGGGAAAAGAAACTACGAATTTACAGAGACTGGGAGGCAGTGTGGTGTAGTGCAAACAACACTGAATTGGGAGTCGGGATTTTCATTCTAGTTCTATACTCTTCCCACCTGGCTGTGTGAGAATTTAGGTTTCTGTACTTCATTCACTACCTTATCCGGGAAAGGGGTTAAGGGGGCATGTACTGGTTGATCTCCAGGGTCTTTCCAACTTTGACAATCTTGAATTATATAAAAATGCTATAAAATCCATGGTATAAAAGCCAATTCCCAATCAGGAAGAGTCAAGGGGACTGGGCCTGAGGCACTTGAACCTTGGGCTCTGGCCTGGGGGTGCTGGGATGAGGAAGGGCTTCCTCTTTGCCCTGGGCTTTCCCACCCACCCACCCAGCCACACAGGCCGACTCTGGCCCTGGGCGCCAGGGCCCCTCTACCTCCAGACCTAACCCTCAAGTCCGCCCGCTCACCTTCCCACTCTCAGGCTTTAAGACCAAAGGAACCGGCCTGGCTATGTGAAGAGCAGAAGCTGGGGCCCAGAGACTCGAGGACAGGCCTGGAGCGTCACACATTAGTGTGGGATGTTCGGGGTCCCTTAGCCCCACCTCTGTCCTCACTCCTTCCTGTAGGTCCTTCCTCCACCACCTCACAGCTTATCTCTGATACACGTATAATAAATAAGACATTTGCACATAAGGGTGACTGGGACAGCTCTCTCCCCGCCCCTCCCCCTTTCATATAAAAGCATTAAATACAGTTTCAAAATAAAATACAAAGAGCAAAAAGGGCCTGATCTCGGGGCCACCTGTTCTCCACAGGAGAATGAATCTACACATCCCACTCGGACCTGCCTGGGAGATCGCGGGGCCCCTTCCCGGCCCCACCGGACCCGGCGCTGCCGCGGGTTAGAGGAAGGCCGAGGCCCGGCCCCAGGCCCTTGGGTGCTGAGAATGGGTGGCACGTCCACCGTGTACAAAGGGGGACAGGGAGGGACGGGAATAGAACGCCAACTGCCGGGACCTCCAGTGCCCCGGGTTCGGACTGTCGGGGACGAGAGAGCAGGAGTGCCTGACGGAGTTTAGGGGAAAACGGAGGCCTTAGGAGCAGGAGAGGAGCCAAGGAGAAAAGTGCTAATCCCTTTACAAGATCGGGGCCCGGGAGGGCGTGGCAGGGGCGGGGGAGGCGGGAGGGGCCGCGGGGCGCGCCGTCCCCAGAGCCCGCCTGGGAGGCTGGCGCAGCTGCCGGGGCCCCAGCCCAGCTCCGCCCCCGCCTCCGCGCCGCCCGCCCGCGGTCCCTGGTGTCCTCCCAGCCCGGGAGGGAGGGGGCTCTCGAGCACCGCAGCCCCGCCCTCCGCTGGAAGCCCTCGTCCGCAGTCCCGGCCTCCGCGCGGCCGCGAATACCAATGAGGCCCCTGGACCTTGGCAGCCGCCCTTGACCCCGGAGGCCGTGCCTCTCCGCGTGCAACGCTTCGGGGAACTGGGCCCCAGCCCGGGACGGCGCCTGCGCGGCCTTCCTGCCCTCCCCCAAGCCTTGGGGCCCTAATACTGACAGTCGGCACCCCCACCCCGGCCCATCGCGGGGCTGGGGCTGGAAACCCAACGTGCACACGCTCGGAGGCCAAGGTGGCCTTTTGGGAAACGTGGAGCCCAGCGCCGGGAGGGCCGGGGCTCCGGATCCGACGGGAGCGCGCGCTTCCCGCAGCGCACCCGCCGGCCCCGGGGGGCGCTCCTGGGCACCGAGCGGAAGCCGGGGACCCCACCCAATTCCTATCTCCGCCCGGCCCGGCCAGCGGGGGGGCAGCTGCGGCGGTCAGGGCCGCGGGAAGCAGGGTGTCCCGGCCCGAGGGCCGGCCGAGCACACGGCCGAGCAGCCCCGCGAGCCCGCTACGCCCGACAAACGGCGCCCGCTTTGAGGTCCGCGCCGCCGTCGCGCGGCGCCGGGGCCGGCGGCCCGAAGCCCTCGTGGCCGTAGCAGCGCAGCGCCGCCTCCTCGTAGGCCTCCAGGATGGTCTGGCGCTCCTCGGGCGTGAAGTCCATGGAGAACGGGTGCACCTGCAGGATGTGCCGCTTGATGGTGCTGACCTTGAGCGTGGCCAGCGCGCCCCCGCACACCATGCACACCAGGCCGCGCCGGCTGCCGTCGTAGTCCATCAGGTACTCGCCCCGCCAGCGCGGCTGGTAGTTCCGCCGCTGCTCTCGGCTGCGGGGCGGCGGCGGCGGCGGAGGCGGCGGCGGCGGCGGCGGCGGGAAGGCGAGGCCCCCGGGCTCCTGGTCGTCGTCGTCGTCCTCTTCCTCCGCGGGCCGCTCCGACGGCTCCCCTGGAGAGAGCGGAACGTCGCCTAGAAAGGGACAAAAGACTGCACTGGAGCCGGCAGACGGCAAGCCGACCGCGTCCAGGGTCTCGGATCCACGACCGCCCACCTGGGCCCTCCGGTCCCACCCTCCCCGGTCTCCCCTTCAGCCTTTCCACTCCTCTCCCCACCCCGTTCCAGCCCAGCACTCGCAGCCTTCTCTCCCTGCCTGGCCCGGGTCCCTGCCCCCAGTCTCCCGCGCCACCTGCTCTGGCCCTGCGCCAGCTCACCCCACCACTCCTCCTCCGGCTCCTCCTCCTCTTCCCCTCCCCCCTCCTCGGAGGCTGCGGCCGTGCGGGGGGCGGCAGGGTCCCTGGGGGACTCGGGGCTCGGCAGCCCCAGGGCCAGCAGGTGAGCGGCCTGCTCGCTCCACTCCTGGGCGATAAGGGCCTTGACCGGCCCGCTGAGGCGCGTGGAGCCCGGGTGGCGCTGGCGGATGTGCCGCTTGATGGTGCTCGTCTTGAGCGAGGCCAGCGCGCCCCCGCACACCATGCACACCAGGCCGCGCCGGCCGCCGTCCAACTCCATGAGGTACTCCAGCCGCCAGCGCTCCTGGTAGCGGCGGCGGTGGTCACGGCCCCGCGGCGACCGGCCCGGGACCCCCACCCACTCGCCCTCCTCCTCTGCCGGCCCGGGCCTCTCAGGGACCCCGCCAGCCTCTTCCTTTTTTACGTCTGGGGGACTGAGATCCTGAGAGGAAAGGGCTCCAGCAGTGGGGGCGGGGTCCGGGCTCTTTCTGGTCAGGTCCTGGGGGACGAGGTCGTCGTCTGTTGGGGAAGGGGTGAGGGAGAGGGGCTCAGCCTGGTGGCAGGGCTGCCCTTACCCACGCAGAGGGGTCCTCACCCAAGCCCCTATCTGGAAGCCCCAGCCGGGGTGGGGGGGTGGGGGTGCGTGTGTGTGTCTGTCTGTGTGTCTGTGGGTGTCTGTGGGTGGGTGTGCGGGTGTGGAGAGGAGTCCCTCCCGGTTTGGGCCACAGACCCCACTTTGCAGCCCTAATATGGGGGGAGGGAGGGTCTCGGCCCAGGGATGGGCCTCGCACCTGGTGGGGACCGAGTGAGCTCAGACAGTGTCTCGGGCTGGCCACCCCAGGCTTGCAGCAGGGCGCTGCGCTGGGGGCCGCTGAGCCCCAGAGAGCTGGGGTGCACCTCCAGCACGTGGGCACGGATGTCGTCCAGGTGCAGGCTGGGCAGTGCCCGGCCACAGGCCATGCACACCAGCCGGTTCCCCCGAGGGTCAAAGTCCATGAGACACTCTGCCCGGAACCAGTTCTGCAGGGACTCCTTCAGCCTCCGTTCCAGCCGCCGGGCCCCCAGCCCCCTGCTGCCCCCGGCCCTCCGGGAGGCTGACAGGCGCCGACGCCGAGCCCGGGGTGCCACTGGGCCCCCTCGCCGCTGGCATCGGCCGCCCTCACCAGCTGGGGCTTTGCCTGAAAGGGTCGGAGGGAGGTTAGGAACTGAGATGCTGGCGATGCAGAAGCTCCCCGCGGTGGCCAGGACCTCGCAAGCCTCTCCCTCACTCTGCCTCTGCCTCACCCTGGCCCTTCTCTTTCTCTCTCCTCATCCCTTAACTCCTCCACCTCCGAATGTTCCTGCAACAACCCCGAAGCACTGCCCACTCCTCCCAGAGACCCAGATTCTAGGCCCTTCCCGGGACTTCACTGTTAAGCGGTACCTTTCCAGCACCCTCTCCTCCCAGCCTTTCCCCCGCCCATCCCCCCACCTCTGGTCTCCTTGAACCTTCTAAATCCGAGATCTTCTAAATCCACACAATGCCGAAACTCTCAGGGATGGGGGAGACCCCCACACCTCAGCGCCCCTCCCCCAATATTGTGCAGTAAGGGCGGTAAGCAGTCCCCCCCCCCCAAAAAAAGGGCAGTGGCTGGCTTAAGAAAATCAGTTAGTTGGCTGAGAAGGCGGGGCTGGCCCCACCCGGCCCGCCCCGCCCCCCTGGCCCCTGCCTCTCCAAGTTCTGAGTTACCTGGGCCCTTGGACGGGCAAGCTTGCAGGCTAGCCCCCTCCTCCTCCTCTTCTTCTTCCTCTTCCTCCTCCTCCTCAGCCCCCTGGGCCCCCAGGCCCTCAGACTCTCCACAGGCCCCCAGCCCCAAGTGGGCATCCCAGCTGTTGCTGATGACTTCCTTCTCCCGGGGACTCCAATGCAGGGAGTAGGGGTGCTTTTGGCGGATGTGCCGCTTGATGGTGCTGAGCTTGAGCGTGGCCAGGGAGCTGCCGCACACCATGCACACCATGCCGTGCCGGGCGGGGTTGAAGTCCATCAGGTACTCCAGCCGCCAGTGGTCGTGGTAGTAGCGCCGGTGGTCACGGCCGGGGATGCGGCTCTTTCCGGGCCTCGAGGCCCGGGCCTCACAGTGGTCTGAGTATTTCCTGCCTGAAGATGCGGGTCCCCTGGCCCTGGAGGAGGGCAGGGGGGCACTCCCCCAGGACCCCAAGGCACCCCCTTCCAGCTGCAGATCTTGCCCTGAAGAAAGGGGAGGGGAAAGGGGAGACATTTCTTTAAGGTCTGATTCTCAGGGAAAGAACCCAGGCTTGGATTGTGCAGAGAAAGGGAGGTGGGGGAGGGGTCGTACAGGGGCAGGCAAAGGGTGGCAACAGCAGTAAAAGGGATGTGGGAGAGCCCGGAGTCAAACCATTGGCCCCTTTACCAAGAGTGAGGCCCCTTTAAGAGAAGGCCAAGAAAGAAAGGATGCAGGACACTGTGAGGGGCTAGCTCTGACTTTAAAAAATGAGGTGCAGGCCATGGAGGCCGCCGGCTCTGTAAGGCACCCCGTTTGGAGGAGGGCTGTAAGCGTGGAGCCAGAGGGCAGCAGGCCGGGGCGCTTCCGGCCAGAGCAGAGGGGGCAGTGGGGCGAGAAGAACAAAGGGGGCATCTGTCTGCATCCAGGGCCGTACACAGGACCCACCCGTCTGAGGCCCCAGCCAGGAGGGCCCCACCCAAAGATCTTCTCCCTTTTTCCAGTGCTGCCTCCAACACAGCCTTCTGACAGTCCCATGTTGGGGGGTGCTAAGCATCGTCGGTTCCCCAAATATAGGCACCCACGGGAGGGATCCCCACGACAACGCTGTCAACGCCTCCAGGGAAAGGAGTTTCTGGGACCCTGGCTTCCCTAGAGTCTGGGAGAGCCCACGACCCTGCACGGGGGCCGGCAGGAGGGCCACCAGAGTGGCTACTGCAGATTCTGCGGAAGGGAGTGGCCACCACCCACTGGAGCCCATTAAGTCTTTCTGGGGATTTATTTTTTGCTCTGGCAGAGAGCCGGCCACTGCCCAGCAGTCAAGGGGCAGCCACTGGAGAGGCCCAGGGAGAGCATACTAACCCAGTGGCGTTCCCTTTTCCCAAAGAGGCAGACACCCCAAGCGGTCCCCCACCTTCCCTGCAGTGTGGACCCCATTTTATGTAGAAGAGGGTTTCCTGGCCACATAAGCTGAACGGACAAGTGTGGTCATGCTCTCGCTGGAGAATCTCAGGGTCAGAGAAACAAAAGACAGGACCAGATAGGACTCCTGTGACCATTGTGGTGTTTGTTTTGATTTCAGTGAATCCAAAGGAAAAAAAGCACTGGCTTCAAAGTCAGAGGCCTCGGTTCCAGGATGGTTTCACCGGTAACTTGCTCTGTGATCTTTGATAGGTCGAGTGGCTCTCTGGGCCTAAGCCTCTTTGTCTGAAAAGGCACTGGATAGCTAGCTGGTCTCCAAGGATCCTTCCAGCGCTGGATCTACGCGAGTCTAAGGTGGCGTGGCCCTTTAAGAGCCCAAAAAAGGGGAGGAGCTGAGATTCTTTAAAAACAAAAGGGGATGGGGAGTTTCTGCGAGGGGAGCTCGGAGATTAGGGCAGAGTCTCCCTAGTCTGGACAGACCGTCACGGGGCTTAAGGCGTTGACCCTGCAGCAGGGGATGAAGAAACGGTGTCCTCCGGGAGAGAACGGGGAGGACGGGCTGGTCCTAATTAGCTGCCAAATTGTGGCAAAATTTTCTGAAAAGAAGGGAGGTGATAACGCGCGGGCGGGAGGGGTATCTGCCTTTGTGAGCGAGCCCATCCCTTTAGAAACTGCCCGCGGTGGGTAAGGTAGTGTCCCCCCCCCCCCCACCAGGCGCACGCCACGCTTTCCTAGAAAGAACACGGGGCGAAAGAAAAAGGATTCCTGTCTGCAAGCAAGGCCACAGGACGGGAGGAGCAGCCCGACTTAAAGCAGCGGAGTTCCCAGCTCAGCTCCTCTAGGGGAAAGCCCCCCGAAAACGACCCATAGTCTGGGCAGACTTTTGAGAGACAGCCGGATAAGGGAGACCACCTGGGAGTCTGAAAGAGAAAGGGGCGGGGGCGCAAGTCCAACAGCCTACAGCGCGCGCTCCGCGGCGCCTGGCCAGGCCCTTTGGGGACCCTCCGGCCTGGCCTCTGAGGCGGGGGCCGCGGGGCCCTTTAAGGGGGAGGGAATCCGCCCGAGCCCCGCGGGCGGACCCCGGGAGCTGGGCGGGGGGCTCCCCCGCTGGCCCTGCAGCGGCGATCCGCGCCCGCCAGGTGGCGCCCCCGGCCGCCCTGCCCGCGTCCCCCCCTTTGTTCGGCGGCGGAGAGGGGCCCGGAGCCCGGAGCCGCAGCCCTCCCCTCCCCCATGCCGGGGCCCCCGCCCGAGCCGCCGGCCCCAGCTCTTACCGCCGTCGTCCTCCTCGGGTTCCGCGCCGCCGCTCGATCCGGCGGGCGGCAGCCGTCGGCCCCGTGCCGAGGCCGCTGCTGGCCCGGGGCCGCCCCTGCCTCCGCCGCTCCGGCTCCGGTGGTCCCCGCCGGGCTCCATGCGCTGCGCTGCGGAGCGGGGCCCCGGGGCGGCGGGGCGCGGGGCCGCGGGGCCGGCGGCGGCCCGCGCGGGGCGCTCGGTGCTCGGGGCCCCGGGGCGCGGGGCGCATGCACGGGGCGGCTGGCCGCACGGACGGCTGGCTGCTCGCTCGGCGGCGCGGGCTGGACCGGGGTGGGGACTCCTGTCTGGGGCCCCTGGGGCTCCTTTAAGGGCTCCTGGGTAAATTTAAAGGGGCCGCGCGCTATTTCCTCCTGCCAGCTCGCGGGGGGTTGGGGGGGGAGAGGCGGGAGGCGACGAGCTGGCCCGAGGCTCCGCAGCCGGCGCCCGCCCCGGACGTTGGGAGCACAGACCTCGCCGCCCTCGCGGGCCCGCACCGCCGCCTCCGGGGCTCCGGTCCCGGCTCCTGAAGGGTCACCGAAGTGGCGAGGGGCGCCCGCGTCCGCTGCGACGCGCTTCCACCCGGGCTCCGCTCGCAGCCGCTGCCCCCTCGGGGCATCTCAGCGCCCGGCTCCCCGCACCCGCGCCGGCCAGGGATCGCCCGGTGGGAGGCCCGGGTCCCCGCCGGGGCTGCCTCCTCCCGCGCGAGCTGGGCGCGGGCCCCAGAGCGGACGCGACTGGCAGGGGCCCCAGATGGCCGCGGCCCCGCCGAGAGGGTGGAGCCGCGGGGGCGGCCGCGCCCCCTCCCGCGGGAGCCGCTCGGGAGCGCCGGGAGTTCGGGCTCTTCCATTGGAGGCGCCGACCGGGCGAAGCTGCCCCAGAGCCGGCCGGGGGCGGGGGCCGCAGGGAGTCAGGCCGGGAAGAGGGGGCGCGCGGTGGACTCGGGGGAAGCCAGCTGTGCCGGGGCCCGACGCTGCGGGACGGAGGGGGCCCCAGACTGAAAGCGGGGAGGAGAAGGCGTGTGCCGCCGTGACTCAGGCTCCGGCCCCCGGAGGCCTGGGGGGTGCCAGGGGAGGCCCTTGACGCGGCCCCAGGACCCCCGCCCGGCCCGAGGAGGCGAAGGACGCTGACCCCGGGCGGGGTGTCGGGCACCTGGGGACGGGCGCCACCACGGCTGGGAAGCGCTGGGGCGGACCCTGGCTGCAAGCCCCCAAACGCCTCGGGGGGGCCCCAGCTGCCAGAAAGCGGAGAGAAGGGACCCGCGAGAAGCGGTCCGGGGCGCGGCAGCCTGGGGTCCTTCCGCGAGGACCGGCTGGAGGAGCAGGTGCTTGCTTTGCCTGTGGTTGGTCGGCCACAACAAAGGCGATTCCTAGAGAACCAAATTACAGGGTGCGGAGGCCATGCAGGGTCTTATTATCTAGAGGTGGGTTGTGTGCTTTTCGCTGGGGATCCAGCGATCCGCTGAAGAAGTCCCCCTCGACAGACTCATTCGCCCACCCAATACCTACTGTGTGCCAACACGCCTTTAGGCGCTGGGCAGTGAACAAGACAGACAAGACTGATACTGTTTATGACTTAACAGGCACCAACAGCTTATAACAAGGAAACACTTCCAGCCCTTCGGGAGCCATGGGAAATATTAAATGACCCGGAGCACGGGAGGCCTTTGCCCTAAGCGTTTGTGAAGAGGGGCCCAGAACTAACATTTCTGAAGTGCCTAAAGGTGTCTGTCAACCGTTGGAGATGTTGTCCCCAGGACGACCTGCCGGAGACGTCACTTTGGGTAAACTGAGTCCCGGCCCTGCAGCTCCGCTCTGTTCGCTCCAGTGCGGCCCCACGTTCAGGGTGGAGCTGCATGACTTTCAGCCGCTGGGGGTTGGAGGGGCGGCCAGGCGGTGCCGGGAGATGGGGGAATTCTTTCATTCATTATGTCCTACCCTCACCCTCGCGCCAAGCCCAGGGCCACAAAGGGAAAATGAGGTACAGACCTGACTTCACATGCTCCTAAGTATGGGTTAAAAAAAAAAGTACCAGGGTAACCCACCATCAGGACTGGCCACTGTGCAACACTTTGGTATATGTCCTTTCCAGTTCTCTCCCTAAGCGTATATATAAATAGGATAATTTTTATTTTAAGATTTTATTTTTAAGTAATCTGTATACCCATTGTGGGGCTCGAACTCACAAACCTCGGATCAGCAGGCACCCCTAAATAGGATCATTTTATTTGTTACCAAAAAAAAAAAAAAAAGCATCAAGTCCACGTGGAGCCATTCTTTTATTGCAGGATGCTTCTTTCTTTACCCACTTCCTGCGCAGCTCCAGAAACGGCTCCAAGCTCTGCAGTCCTGAAGCATTCTCAGCAACTGATCCTCACAGCCGCCCCATGAAGATAAAGCTTCACCTTTATCACCTAAATAATTACCTGACACAGCCAGGTTGGGGGGCGGGGAAAGGGGAGATCCATTTCCATCAGCCGCTTCCCCCCCCCCCCCCGCCCCCCGCCGCCCCCAAGCAAATCTTCATTTACTGGGTCTGCTATGAGAAGGGGAAACAATGGCGGTCAGGACCACATTGTCATTTTCATGGGCCCTTTGTGTGTCAGCCCCGTAGGTGTCTTCCTTTATTTAAAAAAATGAGAGAGACTTAATAGATTTTTATGGACCCTACAAAGGTCTTATTTTCTCTGATGTGAGAGAAAAAAAAATAACACCTCTTCTGGAGCCTCAAGGGTCATTTTTCTCTTCTGATTTTGTTTTTCTTTTTTTTTTAATACTTTTTATGTTTATTTATTTTGAGAGAGAGAGGGAGAGAACAAGGTGAGAAGAAGCAGAGAGAAGGAAAGACACAATCCCAAGCAGGCTACAGATCATCTGCACAGAATCTGATGCGGGGCTCAAACTCACAAAACGTGAGATCATGCCCTAAGCCCAAGTCAGACCCTCAACCCATTGAGCCACCCAGGCGCCCCTTCTCTTCCGATTTTAAAGTAAATTAAAATGTTTCCATGAGTCCCTATAGACGTGATGGGCTCCAGGCACTACGTCCTCGGTGCCCAACGGTTAGCCAGGATTGACTGCAATTGGGGGTGATAAAAGCCAAGAGAGAGGCCACTCATGGGGCACATGGGTGACTCAGTTAAGCATCTGACTCTTGATTTCGCCGCAGGCCATGAGCAGGCTCTATGCTGACAGCCAGGGGCCTGCTTTGCTTGGGATCTCTCTGTCTCTTTCTCTCTGCCCCTCCTCCACTTGCTCTCTCTCTCTCTCTCTCTCTCTCTCAAAATAAATAAACTTTTTAAAAATTTTTTTTAAAAAGAGAGAGAGAGAAGCCACCCAAGCTGAGAAGACTTCTATGGAAGATATTGTTGCAGACAAGTCTTGAAAGAGCAAGAGGAGAAACCCGGTAGCCAAGGCCAGGGAGGTGCTGCGAAGGGGGGCGGGGGGGGGGTTGCGGTGGGAGAGGCTGAAGACGAAATAGGAGTGAGCAGGGCGAGAGCCTTGGGTGCCATGCTGAGAGGCTGCCTTTGTCCTGAAGCCTGGAGGCCCACCTGGAGCCTGTGTGCAAGGTTTTCTGGAAGCAGCGCTGAGACCAGGAGGGAGGGAGAGAAGAGAGAGAAAGACGGTGGACACTGTCAAGCAGTCGACAGCTGTCATAGGAATGACATGAAGCCAGTGGGGCCACTGGAGAGGAGACAGGATGTAAGCAGGGCCACAGCCCTGTGTGTGCAATCTTCCCTGCACATAAGGGGACAATTTGGGCGGTGAAATGCCACCTATGCCCCCAGCTGAGTCCTACACCCTGGTGTGCGCCAGGAGGAAAGGATTCCTCTTGTCACCCAGGCGTGATTTGTTAGTCAAGCATGTACCTGCTTGCGCTCAGAGGGGCCGTCTTTCCCTAATTCACTAGCCGAAAGGGGGCCCTTTTAACTAATTTTCAACAAAGGCCCCTTAGAGGCTGGCCGCTGTCCTAGATTGAGCCATAATCAAGAGGCTAGAAACCACAGGACATGCTGCAGAATTAAATGTCTGATCACAGAAAGGACGGGCTAACTCCCAAGTATCCGGAGCAGGCGGACAGCGATATAAAAAGAAACATAGACCCTGGAGGGCGGAGGCAGAATGAGGTCTGGTAATAGATAAACTGAGGCATATTAAAATTTTAGGAATTTATTGGAGCAAAATCAATTCCCATGGGGCAGCGCCAAACCAGAAGTGGTTAGAAGCACTCCATCAACGGGAACTGGGGACGGAACTTTAATAGAGAAAAGGCGGAAGCAAAGTAAGGAAATTATTGATTGGCTATAGCTTGAAACCTAGTTGGCTGCCTGCGACAGCTTGTCCCTAAGTCTCACTGTCGTGACCTTGAGGTATTTACAGGCTTAGATTTCGGTTCACTTACATAAGTGCGAGGGCGTTAGAGCTGCCTCAGTCTACTGGCCTCCTTGTTTAATTAACTTAACAATTTTTCTCCCATTTGGCCATCCTTTCGTACGTGATAGAGTGACCACAAATTTTGTAGGGGTACCACTCCCCGTCACCATCAGACTTAAATTGTTCTTAACCTTATCATGGAACTCATAGTAATGATGAGGTCGAATCCACTGAAGAATTGCTTTTTGCTGTTTGTCTGTCGTACATCTTGTTTCTCGCTTCTCCGAGCACAGTAAGACAGCTGATGTGCTGATGGCTGCAAACATGCACGTAAGAGCCGCAGAGAGAACTCGAAGCACCAGAAGGGTTATAGTGCTGGCCACGAGTAGGATAATAATACCAAGAGGCTGAAGTATACTCTTAGCCAGGCTCCCCATGAACCAAAGCAATCGGTACCACGTAAGTCAAAGAATGTACCTGAGGAGGTATCAGCCTGGGCTACCGGGACACATAATCTCTTGTATTTGCGTTTCTACAAAGCCAGAGGTGTTGATGCAGGTGCCGCAGACGGTTTCTGCTATGGCACAGGCACCTCCTTTTTCAGCCAGCAACTATTCTAAAGCATTTCTATTGTCTAAAACCGCCTTCTCAAGAGAGTTTAGGGAACTTTGCCTTTCAACCATGGCCTTCAAAGTAGCCTCGGCGATGGTTGCCAGGGTTGAGGCTAAGTTTCTTTTTTTTTTTTTTAAT